AAATAACCTAAAGATGCATCTTGAGATCTTAGAAAAATAAAAACAAACCAATTTCAAAACAAGTAGGAGGAAAGAAATAATGAAGATCAAAGCCAAAATTAATGAAAGATAGAATAGAAACTACAAAGGTTATAAAGATGAAAAAGAAGATATCACAAGAGATATCACTTGAAATCCAGAGGATTATTAGGAAATATTTTTAAACCTATGTCCCAATAAATTAGAAATTATAAAAAGAAATAGATAAATTTCTAGAAACAGTACCTACCAAAATTGAACCAAGAAGATATAGAAAAGCTAAACAGACCAATAATAATGAAATTGAAGCAGAAATAAAAAAGACTTCCAACAATAAAAAGCCTAGAACCAGATGGATTCACAGATTAATTCTACAAGAACTTTAAAGAACTAAAGTCAATGCTCCATAAATTATGCCACGAAACAGAAAAGGAAGAAACACTTCCAAACTCATTCTATGAAGCCAGTATTAGCCTGATACCAAAACCAGATAAGACACATCAAGAGAAGAAAACTACAGACCAATATTCTTGGTGAACACAGATATAAAAATCTTTAATAAAACATTAGCAAATCAAACTCAACAACATATTAAAAAATTATACACCATGATCAAGTTGGTTTAATTCCAAGTTTGCAAGGATGGTTTAACATACGAAAATCAATAAACAATACACCACAAAAGTAGAACCAACAACAAAAATCACATAATTATTTCAATAGATACAGAAAAAAAAAAACTTTGACAAAATTCAGCTCCTATTCATGATAAAAATTCCAAGTAAAGTAGTGATAGAAGATGCCTCAAAATCATAAAGGCTAGATATGTGACCAACCCAAATCTAATATCATATGTAATGGGGTAAAACAAAGTATTTTCTCTAAAATTAAGATAAGGATTACCATTTTGCCCACTCCTGTTCAATATAATATCTGAATTTTTAGCCAGAGCTATGAAGCAAGAGAAGGAAATAAAAGTGATAAAGTGAAATCATCATGTTTGCAGATATAATCCTACAAGATCTCAAAAGTTTCACTATACGAATTCTAGAGCTGATAACAAATCCAGCAAAGTAGCAGGATATAAATTCAATATACAAAAAATCAATAGCTTTTCTATGCACCTATACTAAATCCACTGAGAAGGAATTCAGGAAAGCAAGTCTATCACAACAGCTTTAAAAATATGTAGATAAAAATCTAACCAAAGAGATAGAAGACCTCTACAACAAAAATTATTGAACACTAAAAAATGAAATAGAAAAAGACATTAAACACTGCTATCATGTATTACTAATTAGAATAAAATAGTAATAATAATAATAATAATAATAATAAAGAAAAAGACACCAAACAATAAAAATAGCTCCTTTGGTTCATGGAAAGACAGAATTAATATCATTAAAATGGTTATATTGCCAAAAGTAATCAACAGATTCAATGCAATCCCTATCAGAATATGATGACATTCTTCACAGAACTATTATAAACAGTCCTAAAATTCATACGGAAGAACAAAAGACCCAGAATAGACAAAGAAACTCTAAGCAAAAACAGCAACACTGGCGGAATTACAATACTCAACTTCAACATACACTACAGTGCTGTATCAATGACAACAGACACATAGACCAGTGGAATAGAAGACACAGAGACAAACTCATACAGATACAGTCATCTGACAAAGTCTCCAAAGATATACACTGGGAAAAGGACAGCCTTTTTGACAAATGCTGTTGGGAAAATGGAATATTCATATGTAGAAAACAATACTAGATCCCCATCTCTCATGAAACACAAAAGTCAACTCAAAATGGATCAAAGACATAAGTACAAAACAATAAATTTGCAACTGCTAGAAAACACAGGGCAAACACTCCAACATATAAGAGCAGGCAATGACTTCCTCAATAGGATTCTTAAAGCTCAGGAAACAATACCAAGAAATAGTAAATGGGATGCCATCCCATTAAAAAGCTTCTGCACAGTAAAGGAAACAAGAGTATGAAGTGAGAGCCTAGGAAATGGAAGAAACATTTTTGCCAGCTACTCTTCTGACTGAGGATAAATATCCAGAATATATAAAGAACTCAAAACACTTAACACCAAAAGCAACCCCATCAATAACTGCGAAAATGAAAAAAAAGACATTTATCAAACAAAAAAATTGTACAAATGGCCAACAAATATATAAAAAACATGTTCAACATCTTTAGCAATCAATCAGTGAAATGCAAATCAAAACCATACTGAGATGTCATCTCACTATAGTTAAAATAAAACTCTTCAAGTATACAAATAATACTAAACACTGGATAGGATATGATCAAAAGGAACTTCGATATACTGTTGATGGAATTGTAAATTAGTACAAACAGTATGGAAATCAGTATGGAGGTTCTTCAAAAGACTAGAAATAGAACTACTATATGACCTAGCTATCCCACTCCTCAATACTTATCCAAAAGAATTAAAGTCAGCATACCATGCTTATAGCAGTGTAATTCACAATAGCCAAGTTATGGGCCCTACCTATGGGCTCCTCAACAGATGAATGGATAATAAAAATTTGCTACGTATATACAGTAGAGTTAAGTCAACAATAAAGAAGAAAAAAAATATGTCATTTTCAGGAAAATAGATGAATTTGGAGAGCATCATGTTAAGTGAAATAAGCCATACTTTGTCAAGGGTTCTAAGTTTTCTCTTATATGTGGAAGCTAGAGAGGAAAAAAAAAAGTGACCTATGAAAATAGAAGGGGGACCAGTCGGGTAGAGGAAAGAAATCAGGGTGAGGAAGGAGAGGAAGGGAAGAGAAGGTACAGGAGAATTAAATTGATCAAATTATGTTGTGTGCATGTACAAATCAGTCACAATGAATCTCACTATTGTGAATAATTACTATGCACCAATAAAACTTTTAAAAAGTAATCACCTCCTTAGAAGCAGAGATAAATCTTATCCTTTTATTGAAGTAAAACCTCTTAGTAGCATAGTCTTAGGTGATACAACATGGAGCCTACTCTGTACAGTTAAAAATATGTCTATGAAAGGCTAATAAATAGGTTGTCAGCTGAAAACCAACTACTGGTGTCACAATATATAAGAACTGATAAATATATGTATTTAAAATTATTTCTTCAAATGAGATTCCAGTATATAAATTACTGAATGATTGAATACAGGGCAGGGAGCTCAGAATCCTGAGAATCTACCTTTTCTCCAACCCTAGGTAACAAAGAGCCCTGGGGCTCTGCACAACTCCACAGCTTGGAAATCATAGCTTTATTCTGACATCAACATTTTGCAAATTAAGAAATCCAATCCTAAAGAGACAAAGTTGTTTAATGGAGTTTCTGAACCCAGAGGATGCTTCACAAATTGACCAAATTATGTTATATGCATATATGAATATTTCACAATGAATCATTCTGTTTTGAATAGATACAATGCACAAATAAAAAGAAAAAAAGCATACAATATCCTGATCAGTGTATCTAATACCTGCCATGAGGAGGGACAGGTTACAACCTTACACTCAAGAAATGGATACCAGGTAGAGAAACAAAGAAACTAACAAACCCAACTCCTCTCCAGAACTTCCAGATGGTTTAAGAAGAAAATTTCCAATTCTAAACACAAGGTATACATGTTCTTGTGGAACTATCTTCATAGAAACCAAAAGCATATTATACTGTATACTTAAAAATGTTTGAGAATAGCTTCTAAGTGTTGTTATTGAAAAAAAATGATAAATGTGTCATAATGGATGTGGTGATTAGCTTTAACATTCCATTATGCATACATATATCTAAACATCCGTTTTAGTCAGTTTTTTGCCAGACCAAGAGATCAAACAAGAACAATTTTAGAGAAGGAAAAGTTTGTTTGGTGCTCATGGTTTCAGAGGTCTAGTTCATAGAGAGCCAATTCCATTGCTATGGACTCAAAGGGAGAGAGAACATCATGTCAGAAGAGTGTACAGGAAGAAAATTATTCAAGACATGGCCACCAGGAAGCAGAGAGAGTGCTCCACTCAAAAAGGAAAAAAACTATAAAACCCACAGACACAGTCTCAATGACCTACCTCCTCCAGCCACATCCTATGTGCCTAGAATTACTATCAAGTTAATCCTTTTAAGTGAATTCCAGAGGTGTTACCAGGCCCTCAGTGGAGTTCCTCACCCTAACACTACAAATGTTCTCAACCCCACATGCCTCACTCAGAGCCTTGGCCCTGGGGATTGTTAGCCAGGAAACTTCTTAAACACTTTTGGGTAGCCAGAGCCAACTTGCACCTATATTTTATTTCCCTATTGTTAATAGAAGATGTCAAAAGTGTAAGGTAAATAAATGCTTTTGTCTTTGTGGTCTTCCCGCGTGGATGATTAGAGGAGGTTGACAAGTTTCCTACCCTTTTAATCAAATGACTCCCATGATTGCTTTTCCATATTTCACTACTTTCCTAGTTTGCTCAGGCCCTCATGAAAAGGCTCCTTATTTTCATAATTAGAACATTAAACCAACGTGACAATATGCAGGTGCTGAAACCTGAGTATGTAAGCCAAAGAGTTTCCTGGTCCATACGAGAAGAAAACCACATGGGGAAGTGGACATGCTCATTTCAGATATACTTGTTTCAAGTCATTTTCAAATAATGTCACATGTAAATACTCCTGTTGAATAACATTATGTAAATTCTTTATCCTAAATTTTAACCATCTGTATGTTTCAACTCCCATTTTTTGTCAGTTGATATTTAATCAAATATAGCATCTGCTAGGACAATTCAAACAATCCAAGTACACCTTCACAAACCTCAGGCTTATGAAAGGCTCTTTGTAATTCATCAGTGGATTCCATGCAGGAGTTCTGACACCAAAGAGAACCAGAAAGACCAATTCACAAGAGTTTAGTAAACAGGAAGAAGTCTTAACCCAGAAGTGAGAGTACCCCGGGACAAAACATCACAACATTCAAAATCTTTTGCAAATTCACTTCTTTTATTTTTCTGTGACACATAGATTGCATGTGTTTGTGTGAATTGTGGTTACACATATTAGGCAAGGTGGACACACATGATTTATACATTTCAAAGCACACTAGTGTGAAAATAAATTACCTTTCATACCCAAACTCCTTCACTGCTCTCTTTCAAATGAGTTGACTCTTCTTTTCCCTTCCCCATGAGGCCACTATTCCTGACAATTTGTGATCACTTTTGTCATCATCTTTTGTGGCCTCAAATCTTCCCTGCTTATCTTGCACCTATATTTTATTTTCCTATTGTTAACAGAAGATGTCAAAAGTGTAAGGTAAATAAATGCTTTTGTCTTTGTGGTCTTCCCGAGTGGATGTGGTTTCCGCTCTTACATCATGCTCTTAGCATATTTTTCCCCTCTCCCTATAAGCAACTAGCAGATGCTCTTTATGAATGCTTTCTTGAGGTACTGCTTAGCTTCAAGACCAGGAAATGTCATGACAAGTTTTTTCTACGTCCGTAGCAAGAAAGTAGGGCCCATTCCATAATTACATACACAGACACACACACATACACACACTGCATGGTACCAGTTCATCCTCATATAATGAATCATCTGTACCATACTAATCACACAGAGACGTTAAGACAATCCATAGATTTTCCACACCTCTCTACTGTCTATCCCACAGAGCTAAAATTTAATGTTTAGGATTCACAGATAAAACATGATCAAATCAATAAAATATCTTATCCATACTGGGCAAGAATCAATAACAATGCACAATAATTTTATGGGCATGAAGTATAAGTATCTTCAGAGTTGTTCAAAGTTAGGATCTTGCTCTAAAAATTTATGGAGAGCTTTTCCATGTCAATGAAAGGAAATCATGTAGGCTGATGCTTTTGCGGGTCACATCAATTTTTAACACCTATTGGGAAACAAAGAAAAAGTATTGGGCATTTGTTTGAAATTTTCTACACACAAACATATCAGGTGCAGAACAATGGTTCCCATAAACCCCTAATATTTTCATAATTCATGGCCTAGCTGCCAATTGCCCTAACATTTTCAGGTGAGAAAGGTGTTTTCTAATTTCCTAGAGTGCAAAGATCGTTCAGTGATAGGGATAATGTGATACAGAACCACTGATGAGAAATGACTACATAGACAAGTTGGAGAGAATGCCCGCTTTTCCACTGTTCTGAGATGTAGCTTTTGCCTTGAAGTCCTCCTTTTATTTTTTCTTCTCCTATTCCCTCCACTCTGATGATTGCCTAGTAAGAGTCTAATACTCCTGCTTCTTTCTAGGCAAATACCTTCCAGAGGACCTTACTGTGTGCAGGCCTTATCCTGCATGTCAGTCCATGAGTTGGCTCACAACAGAATTAGGCAAAGTCCTTTATGACCTCTTAGTAAAGTTGGGGAAGTTGGTTTGACAAGAAAATGACAGTATGAGGAAACAAAAAATATAAAACCTAATAAAAACTTTTGTTTCAGACCTAGAAATGAGAGAAAATATATTTTCCTTTCTATCACATATTTGTATAATATAAAAACAATATAATAGAATATTTAATTATAAAATAATAAGAGATCTGAATACAGATTTAAATAATAAAATAAACATGTATTTTAAGTTGTTTAAGGTATTAATACTTCTTCACATTCACGGTCTACCTTTTCAAATTACTTTGTGGTAGAATTATTAACGTATCTACAGCCAACATTTTCTTTAGGATTAATTTCTTACAACATTAAAATGTTTAGATAAAACTCTATTGTCTATGGAAACTTCAAAGAGCTTCCTACAGGTTTAAAATTTTTTTAAAGTAATTGATATGAAAAACTTATTTCATAGTTTTATTTTCCTTTTTGTGTGGAATTTATTTCTTTGTGAAATAGTGGAACAACTTTTAGCTGGTATTGTCTCCTTATATTTGATGAAATATGGTGGTTCAAGTTGTTTGGGAGACTGGTCTCTGATACGAGATGAAGGAGTAAGGACAGATAAGTTTTACAGATAAGACAAGACAAACATGGAAAGGAAGGATCCAGACCCTGGATTCCAGAGAATGATAAACCATGAATTGTCCCTTTATCTGCATTCTGTCCAAGCAGACATACTGAAAATGGAGATTCCTGGAAGATTGTCAGGAGAGAATAGCATTTGGAAAGGAACCGGCTTTGCATGAGGCCAACCAAGGTTGGGAAATATCACTGAACTTTTCATGGGCCACCAACCTGTGTTGTAGAGTTGTAGGTGAAGGGGGGTATTTCATTCCCGTTCCTCAAAGTGATGCTCACACTGGAAACAGAGACACTGCCCACACCCCAGATTTCAATGTAGCCCAATTTCAATGGGTTTGTAGCAACAACATAATTGTTAAAAATTACATGACTCTGCATTGTATTCTGTCAAATTGGAAATAAAACAAAAGGGAAAAAAAACAAAATTAGTTTTTCCCCCCAACCTCTTTTTAGGCACAAATATAAACCTTGAATAAGCAATCTCTAGGTCATCATCTTGTGTCCTCAGCTAGCAGAGATCATGATTTCAGCATTCTATCCCCTGTTGCCAACTACATCTACTTTGCATAAATGCCTGCAGGGTCTTTAAAATTTCCTTGAGCTATAGGAGACAGTCTCAACCATCAAGAACTTATATTCTATGCATAGAGAAGTCACAAAATGTGCAGACCGTTTCAAAGCAACACTGGAACAGGGCTACACTATATAAAAACAGTCTATCTATGAAATGGTAAACCTAAATAGGTTACTGATGAGATGTGAATAGTTTCCATCACAGCAAACTTCCTGGGAACATGGGGAATCTCTATGTGCAGTTTGGAGGAAGGAAGGACGTAAATTAACAAGATGAGCATGGAAGACATTTTAGGTGCCCTTCTGGCATTGAACATCCTACTAAACCAGCAGAACTCCACTTTCCATCACACTCACCTGGCTGGCAGAAAAGTAGGCCAAATAATATATTCCATTTTCAATGGTATCTGTAAACAAACAACAGGAAAATATGACCAAGGCTTATGCCAGAGAATTCTAATTGGCTACCTGTCTTGGTTGAGAGAGCAGGGATTATTTTTGTGATTTTTTTGTTTGTTTTACTTTTCTTCTCTGCTCATCTCCATTTTGTAATGTGACTCCTCCTTGTGGAAACCAGTCAGACTCACAGTCAACCCCAGTTAACACAAATACCAGTCTCATGCCACTTCTCTTCCTTGTGGTCTACCACTCCCAGCCTCTTCCCGGTCATCTCAGGACTTCCATATTCTTTTGCTAGTGTATACTTATGCATATATGCATGCAGATACACACATACACAAGCACCAAGACTGGTGCATTGTTGGGTTCATCTTGAGAGGTATCAGGCAGTTTTCTAAATGCAATCTCCAGGGAACAAATAAAAGCCTTCCTTGTCCTTTACCCTTAATGTATGCCACCATCCCAGGGAGAGTATAAAGTCTGGCACATCTGGTGAAGGTCGACTGGTTGGGATCCTTGCCTCAGGCGCTCTCATTCTCGTCCCCATCCTTGACATTTTCTCCCTTATTCTAGCCTCTTTCTCATTTATCACCATGCTGTCAGTATTCACTGGCTATCCTCACCAGAAAAATATAGCAATGTAAATTTAAATTAATTAAAATAAAATTAAATATAAAATCAGATGCACTTGTCACCTTGTGCCACATATGACTAGTACTGCATTAAACTAAGAAGATATAGAGCAACTCCACCACTGCAGAAAGTTCTACTGGATATGTGAGTCATCCTTCTAAGAAGTTACACATTTCTGTAAACTCTTAATGGAAAAGTTTCCTCCAAAATAGCACAACTGAGAGAGGCATTGTCTTGCTGGGACAATAAGCCATAAAGCTAAGAAATATGTCCCTTATCACAATGAACTGATGAATAATGGTGAGAGATCTAGCATTAAGCATCATTTGCATGAGGCATAAAGATCATGAACAAAATGGATTACACACTTGAAGTAGCAAACAACTATAT